TCCTCCTCCTCCTCCTCCTCCTCCTCCCTCCCCCTCCCCCTCCCTTCTGGAAGGCCAGCCCCCCTCGCGCCGCACCCCTGCGCACGCGCCGCCGAAGCGGGGGGTCGGCCGATCGCCTTCGAGGTCCTCTGGCTGGCCTGGGCTCGAGAGCCACCTGGAGCCCATGTCGGGGGCGGCAAAGAGGGGGGTGATGACTAGGGGGGGTAGATATCATGGCGGGGGCCATGATGCTCCCCAGATTTCATGATGCCTCTTCTTATTCCATTACGTCCCGCGACTGGGGGGGAGATATCATGGCGGGGGCCATGATGCTCCCCAGATTTCATGGCGCCTCTTCTTATTCCATTGCGTCCCGCGACTGGGGGGGTAGGTATCGTGGCGGGGGTCATGATACTCCCCAGAGTTCATGGCGCCTCTTCTTAATCATTACGTCCCTGCCCCCCTCCTGGGCCGCGCACATGCCGCCAGCCATGATTTGCACCCCCCCCTCTTGGACGCCCCCCTCTTGGCCGCCCCCGACGATGGCCGGCCTGGGCTCGCGATGCCGCCTCGGCTGGTTCAAGTCGGGCACGTGACTCTACAGGATCGATCTTTTAGAATAGTCAAAAAAAGTCAGTGGACGATTTTTCGACTATGACCATTTTTGAGTATTGTTTGACTCTTATGTTTTTCGTCCAAAATCCGCCTGTAGGAGGACACGCCCGACCTAACGGTTGATCCAAGTTTGCGCTGAGTCGGGCCAGTGCGTTCCCGCAAGGTGCCGGGAGCTTCTGGGGGGGCGACGTCGCGGCCGTTGTCGCGAGTCGCCGTCATTTACCAGGGCGCAGCGCTGGACGGCGACGGGTTCGATGTTCGAGGTTTCGGGCGTTCTCGTCGGTTCTCGGCGATCTTCCAGCATCGGGATGCGTTTCAGCAGCCGCGCTTCGCCGAAAGTGTCCTGGGGGCGCCAGGCAGCGGAAGGTATGCCTGGGCGCCCGAGCGGCCGACTGAGGCCCGAGTTCTGCCTCAACCGCCAGGCAGCGGAAGGTCGGGGGCAATGTTGAGGGGGGATAGGCTCAGAGGGGTTGCGTCGCCCCCAGGAGTCGCCCCACCGGTCGTTCGTTCATCGCCGATAGGGCTCCGATGGCCCACCCCGCCCAGGAACGCTCGGTTTCGCTATCGGAGGCCTGTTGCCGATCTACCAGCGATGTATGGTCTAGGGTCTGGGCCCCCCCCCTTCATGCTGATGCCATCGGGCCACCCCCCCGCGCGATGCCCCCCCCTCCCTGTGAGTGTGGTGCGTGGCGTGTGTGGCGTGGTACTATGGTGCTCCAAGCTCTGGAGGTCGTCGTCGTCGCCGCCGCCGCCGTCGTCGTCGGAGGAGGACTCGGGAGGTCGGCGGCGGCGGCGCCGCCGTCATCTTCGTCGTCGTCGTCGTCGCCATTGCCGTCGTCGTCGTCGCCGTCGTCGTCGTCCTCGTCGCCGTCGTCGCCGTCGTCGTCGTCGCCTTTGTCGTCGCGTTTGTTGTCGCCGCCGTCGTCGTCGCCGTCGTCGTCGTCGTCGGCGTCGTCGCCGCAGTCGCTGTCGTCGTGGTCTTCGTGGTCTTCGTCGTCGCCGTCGTCGTCATCGCCGTCGTCGCCGCCGCCGTCGTCGTCATCGTCGCCGTCGTCGTCGTCGTCGGCGTCGTCGACGTCGCCGTCTCCCCCATTCCATCAGGGAGGGAGGGGCCCGATTGATCCTGAGACCCATCCCATCTGCGGGGGTGGGGGGCTTGGGCCCAGAGCCGGCATCATGTGTCGCCGATTCCTGGTCGACTCCCCAGAGCCGGTTTCCCCTACCGTTTTTTTCCATTCAGGGAGGGAGTGGATGTAGCGCACGAAGGCCAGTAAAGCATAGGCGTTTCCCCCTACTCGGGGACGTTTGTTTGGGCAGGCCGCAGAGGTTATACCCCCAATTGCCGCCGTCGGGGCACAGATTTTCCAGCAGGCTTGGGGCAGGCGTCCCCGATGGCGGAGACGCTTCTGTGATACAATTCTTCCTCCACCAAGGGATGCGGGAAGTGGAGGGGAAGCGAGGATGGAGGGAAGGAGGAGGATGTGGATGGGGAGAGAGAGAAGGGTGAGCGAGGAGGGACGATAGAGGAGGGAGGATGGGGAGGCTGGAGTTGGGATGAGGAGGAGGAGGCGGAGGAGGAGGAGGAGGAGGAGGCGGAGGCGGGAGGAGGAGACGCAGTACGTGGAGGCGGGGGACGTGGAAGTGAACGACGTCGCGGAAGATGAGGACGTTGTGAATATGGTAGTGGGGAGTCGCAGAAGGGCGGGTGAGAACAAGTTAGACGAGGTTGATGAGAAGGAGGAAGAAGTGGAGGAGGGGGAGGGGAAGGATGAGGTGGTGGACGAGGATGATGGATAGTGGGGGGAAGATGAGGCGGAGGAGGAGGACATGAAGGAAGTGTTCGAGGAGGAAGAGGAAGGAGGGGGATTTTGTATGGGGAGGGGTAGAAGGGATGCGATGGACTTGGGTGAGGACGAGGAAAGAGAGGAATAGGAAGAGGAGAACGAGGAGGTTACCTAGGGCTAAGGACAACATTACCCCAGTGCGACCCTACCTAGAAGTTGGACCCCCTAGGAAAGCAGTATTCGTTGCTATGTTATGCTATGCTATGCTATGCCATGCTATGCTGCGCTATGCTATGCTATGTTATGATATGCTTCGCTATGCTACGCTATGCTATGCTAAGCTAAGCTATGCTATGTCATGCTGCGCTGTGCTGTGCTAAGCTATGATATGACATGCTATGATATGCTAAACTGCGCTATGTAATGCTATGCTATGACATGCTATGCTATGCTATGCTGCGCTATGATATGATATGATTTGCTAGTATTGGCTATGTTATGCTATGCTATGCTATGCTATGCTAATGCAGCGATGGGCTATGCTAAACTAAGCTACGCTAAGCTAACCCTCTAGGCTTTGCTGTGCTGTGCTGCGCTATGCTATGCTATGCTGTGCTGTGCTGCGCTATGCTATGCTATGCTGGGCTATGCTATGATATGTTGTGCTGCGCTATGCTATGCTACGCTGTGCTATGCTATGCTGTGCTCTGCTATGCTAAAGCTAAGCGAAGCTAGGTTGAAGGTAAGCTAAGCTAAGACAAACCTGAGCTAAGATGAAGCTAAGCTAAGCTAAGATGACATAAGCTAAGCTAAACAGAGATAAGCAACGCTAAGCTAAGGGGACATAACTGGGGGAACCGCGGGGCGGATGCCGGGGGAACCGCCCGGGGCGAGGAACACTGCCCGGACCCTTGAAGCTCTAAAGTAATAACCCTTCTAGGCAGAGCCTAGGTAGGGAAAAACAGGGGCTGTTGTTGATGATGAGTTTGATGCTGCTGTTGGTGATTATGATGATGATGCTGTTGCTGCTGCTGCTGATGACGATGATGATGATGCTGCTGATGATGATGATGATGCTGATGATGGTGGTGATGATGATGATGAAGGTGATGCTGGGCATGCTGGTGATGCTGATGCTGATGATGCTGATGATGCTGCTGCTGATGCTGCTGTCGGCGGTGATGCTGCCGATGCTGATGCTGATGTTGATGCTGATGCTGATACTGATGCTGACGATGCCGACGCCACGGCCGACGGCGACGGCGAAGATGACGGATAATAACACGACGACGATGACGATGCCAATGCTGGTGCTGCTGATGACGATGACAATGCTGAGATGGGATGAGATGAGATGATGTGACATGATCTGAGGCTAGGCGAGCTGAGATGACACGAGATGAGAGGAGATGATGACAAGTGGGGGGAGCATGATGAGGAGGGGGCGAACGAGGATGTGGGCGAGAGAGAACGTGGAGGAGGACAGCGAGCACGACAGCGAGGACAAGATGGAGGAGGAGGAGGAGGAGGAGGAGGAGGAGGAGAGGTCGAACATCTTCCTGGCGACGAGGACGGGGTCGGGGACGACGGAGTGGGAGGGAGGAGAAGGATGAGAAGGAGGAGGAGGAGGATCAGGAATGGGGAGGCGGAAGGAGCAGGAACACGAGATGGGTACTCGGCGTCCGCCTCGCTCCCCTGGCGAGCGGCGGCGAGAGCTCCCTGCGCCGGGCCGCACCGGGCCGCAGGCGCTGGACGAGCTCTCGTGCCAGGGTGCGTGCTCGCTGACCGAGAGGCGCTGCCGTGGATCCAGCGTCGTCGTCGTCGTCGTCGTCGCCCCTCGTCGACGTTTGTGCTCGTGGTCAGCTTCGTCGTCGCCATCATCGTTCGCGGTCGTCGCTCCTCCTCCCCCTCCATCCCTGCATGCTTCCTCCCTCCTCCCGCCTGCTGCTCCCACATGCTGCGCCGCGTTCAGCTCGTGGTTCTCTTCCACTGTTCCGCTGCTGCTCTTTGGATGAGCCCCAACTAGATATTTACACGGGGATCATTTTTCTGGAATGATAGGCTGGGGTTCGTTCTGTTTGCATGGGGACATGGGCTCGCACTCTCCAGATCATGACACATCGGGAGTTATCATTCTCAGGGAAGAGTAGACCGCGATGCATCTTGTTTCAGAAAAGACAGCGCTTTTAAATTGTTTGCGGGGTTTGACGCGAGGCATTCAAGATAGTGGACCGTAGTTCGCTAGCTCGGTCAGATCCGTCGCATCTCACTGTTATGTAAAGGCTCTCGTGTTCCCTCCCTCCCCCAGTTTTCCAGACTGGGGTTCGCTATGTTCGAATTCGAGATCGTTCATTATTCCCTGAATGTAACGAACCACAGTTAACAGTATTCGGGGGAACAGTCACCGGGGTTCATTATTCGAAGATCCAGAATAATATGGATTGACTCTGGGGATTGTGCGTTTCACAGTGCAGTCCTAAACAGCGCATTTTGGTTCATTGTTCCGCAGTAGCGAACCTCCGTTCACTATGGTAGTAATGGAGCCAGGGGGGGAGCTTCACCGAGAGATGTGCCATGGCATAATGACTTGGGATTCATCGTCCCCGAAAAAATGAACCGAGGTCTGGAACCCGTCAATAACACAGCACGGACGACCACCCTCAGTTTCTCTCCCCCCCTCGTCCCCCTCTCACTCCGCCTCCCCCTCCTCCCGCTCTCCCCGTCCCGTCCCGCCCTCCCCCCTCTCTTCCCCTCCTTCCCCCCCTTTCCGTCCTCCTCACGACCATTCATGTTATTTGGTCCACCGTCTGTACTTCTCATCCGCCTCATCAATTTCCCTCTCCTCCGCTCAAAGCGAAACGCACGTCGGCGTGTGCCATCTAGCCTGCCCTTGCCCTCCCCACATGTGGCGTCCGATTCCATGCGCATGAATGTTCATGGGGTAAGTGTGACTGCTTGGGAGTGAGATACCGTGAAGTTCACTCCACCAGGTCGTCGTCTCTGTTTCGGCATCGCTTGCTGCATTCATATTTACGTTGATAGCTTCGTCTGGTGGCATTCTTCCCATCTCGCCTCTTAGAAGCCTCTTCTGGGGGCTCTCGTGAGACAACTTTGAGGGCATAGTGGAGGTCTCTTCGGGGCCTCTTTGGCACCTATTGGAGATCTCTAGGGGGTCTCTTGCGGGTATGTGGGGACCCTTGAGGGGCACCTGGGGGCTATTGTTGGGCCTGCTGGCGGCCTCGAAGGGCTCGACATGTATGCTCGTGTCCCCCCTCTTGGGCCCCTCATGGTGCCGTCTCGGGGGCCTCCTCCCTGTGGCTCGGGGGCCATCTCTGGGCGATCTTGGGGTCCTCGTGAGCCATCGTTGCGGGGCCGCCGTGGAGGCGGCCAAGGTTGCACCAGGCAGTCACGACGCTGATCTGAGGACCGCCGTGGTCTCAGCAGGGGCTCGCTGTGGTCCGGGCCGCTCCCGAGACCTCGGCCGTCGAGCCCGCCTGTGGCCTCGGCCCGCCGGTGGCCAGAGACGCCCCGTTCGCTCCTCATATGGCGCGGCTCCTCATGGCAGCACGAGGACTGCACGAGACCAGCGTTGTTTCAACGAGTTGGTTCTCAGCAGCACCGGACATACCCCTATCCCGGAGGTCGACGAGCCAAAAGGCGATGACACTCTCTGGGATGCGCCCTCAGAACCTGAGGGAATCCTGACGATCGGCACTGAGATACAGTCGGTCCGGATTAGTAGGTCGACCCTGCCAGCTCAAGGGTACCCTTGTGTCCTGTGCCTCGCGACACGTGCCTTCTTACACTCCTACGGCGATGTGGCCCTCGGAAGGGTCTTGTGTCCTCTCGCGTCTCCTGTCCAATCAAGGCCGACTGTAAGGAGACGCCAATTCTTGGGATAGAGATATGTGCTTCAGACTGGTAATGTTCTCATTGCCCGACCCTCTGGGTCTCAAAGGTAGCCACCGAGCCCCCCCAAGAGGCCAGCTTAGGACATGCTGGCTTGCTGGCTGCGCCGCGCCCCAGCCAGGCTTCTGAGGCCTCGTTTCGATTCCTCTGGCTCGATTCGGTTCGGTTTCGGTCGGTTCCGATTCCGATTCGATTCGACCTCGGATTCCGACCTGGATTCCGACCTCTCAAGGGGGGTCTTAATAGCTTGCCGCTGTCCGCCGATTCGACTTCTCCCGACTCGACTTCCATTTTCCGCCGATCCGACTCGTTTCGATCGCCGATCCGACGTATTGATTCCACTTTGGGCTTTCCTGCCAAACCGCGCCTCCGAGGCCTCCAGAGAAGTCACGCGCCAGCCCCCAGAGGGTCCCGAAGCGAGGAAGGGCGCCCAGGACTCGGGGGTCTGAGTCCCTTAGCGAGCGCTCGCACCATCCAATACAGTCGGGGCCCATGCCAAGAAACACCCTGCTTGCAGGCATTTTGGAGGCCATCTTGGGGCTATCTTGGCGGTCTTGAAAGCCATATTGAGCCGTCTTGTGAGAATTTTGGGGAGAATTCGGCGACTTGTGGTCCCTTCCTGGTGGCCTGCGGGACGGGCCGAAGCCCCAGGTGGAATTCTTCAGGAAAATATGTAAAACCAAACGCGGAAGGGTCTAGCACGCCAGGCACCCCTTTGATGAATCAACAGGGGGCGGCGGATCTAGTGGCCTTCGACCCACCCCGCCACCGTGCTTGGGTTGTGGTTCAGGGGGTCCTGGATGTTCGATGGGATCTTGCCCTCTCGGGGGCCTCTTGGGCACCTCTCGGGGCCTCTTCGGAGCCGCATGGGGTCTGCTGGGGCCTTCTTGGTGCACACATGTGGAACTTCGGAGTCCTCTGAGGCCGTCTTGGAGCGTGTGAAAGTCCTAAAGGCGCGAGCAATGAAATCCTTCAAAAGCCAATGTAAAATCGATGATACTGGCCTCTTGGGGCCCTCTTGGAAAGCCTCTTGGACACCTCTTGGGATGTCTTGGGGGCCTCTTGGGCCGTCGTGCGTCCATCTAAGGCGTTTTGGAGCGATCATTCGGCGACTCGAGCGAGGCCGTCTGGGGCCGTCTGGAGGGCCTTTGGGGGCTCTCCTGGCCTGTCTCGGGGCGCTCTTAGGCCCGAAGAAGTCACGCAACAAGATGCGCCAAGGCCCATGTGAACCGCGCCAAACCCCGCGAGATTTGTGAAGTTTGGCTCCGGGGCTCTAAGAAACTCCTCAGGACTGAGGACTAAGGCTCGGTGGATTGGCCAAAGGACCTGAGGGCACGCCCACTCCGTGCCCAGGAGCGCGGTGGCGGATTTATGGAACAAAAATATTGTTTGCCTCTGGAGGCCCTCTTGAGGTTCCCCTTGGAGCCCTCTTGGGCCGTCTTGAGGGCCTCATGGGCCATCTTGGGATCCTCTTGAGCCGTTTGAGGGTCAACCTGTGCCGTTTTGGAATCTTGGGCAGTCAGAGGCTCCGAGATTGCCCAAGAGGGCCCCAAGACGGCCCAAGACGGCCCAAGATGGCGCCAAACTGGTCTGAGAGAGCCCCCATAGAGAACCCAAAGACATGCCCAGACAGCTCGAGAAGACTCCAGCCTCCAGAAGCTCCCAAGAGTACCCCGACAGGCCCCCAAGAGGCCTCCAGTATGCCCCAAGATAGCCCCAGACGGCCTCAACTGCCACAAGGGTAGCCTCAAAAAACCACGAGGACCCTTTCTTCTTCGACGTCCTTTTCGTCAGACTCCTTACCGTTCGTTGTCGTCGTCGTCGTCGTCGTCCATGTTCGTCTCCTCCTCTTCCGCTTCGTTCCTCCTCTACTCGTCCTCCTCCGTCTCTACCTCGTCCTCGTGCTTGTTTTCCTACTCGTTGTCCTTCTGCCCCCCTCGCTACCCTCCCCGTCATCCACGCTGCCATCCTCGACATCCGCCGCCTTGTCGTCTCCATCATCCTTTTTCCTCTTCTCCCCCATACGAGCCCAATGGACAACACCGGCGCTGCGCGTTCTTGTCCGATCAGGTTGGAGCATCTTGGGCAGTCTCTACGCCCTCGAGAGCCATCTCGAGGGCTTTTGCGACTTACAACAAGGTCACGGAATCAAAGCCTGTGTTGTTATTTGAATGGTTGTTTGTTTTTGAGCCGAAGATGGGGTCTAGCACCTTGGGGCCATACATGGCGTTGTCTCTGGTGGGTGTACTAAGCCGGGCTACATTATGAGTTGAAATAAGTCAACATGTTAGCCATCGTGTGCCCCGAGCAGGAAGTTATTGCACTGCTGATGTTACAGTTGTGTGGTGTAAGCTATGCAGTGCACAGGTGTACGTACACAGGCCTCCTCGACGGCTGCTCGCGGATGGTGTCAGGAGGCATCGTGTTTTAAGATCCTGTGAGGTTGCGAGCGGCCTCGGCTTCACATGGGAAAACGTGCCACTATCTCGGAGCAGCCGGCCCCATCGCTGCTTGGGCAGGGCGCGAAGGGCAAATCTCTGCGGGGATGGGAGGGGTCACCGACTGAGGCGGGTCGGCAGCCCTCACTCTGACCTGAGTACTTGGCCAGGCCGTCGTCGCCGCCGCTGTGGTGTCTGGCCCTGGTCTCTGTGGCATGTTTGGTCAGGGAGGGAGGTGCGGTGGAGGGAGGGGGCACGGCCAACCCATTGTCCACCTCGGGGGCGCCCCCCGCTCGGGCCGTCGGTGTGATTGGCCTGCTGCTCTGTTGGCGTTGGGCCCCTTCTTTTTGGCGTTGGTCCACGCCTTCTCTGGCGATGGCGGGCTGATGTCCAGCCGAATGGTTCGGTCAGGGGGCTGGAATGGGGCGGTGGGGTGCAGGACTGGGGCTTGCTTCTTGATTGCTTGCTTCTGAATGTTTGGTCAGGGGGCTGGAATGCGCATCCCTCGTCAGCCAGCATCCGCCATGGGGCGGTGGGAGACCCTTCCCCTGGGGGAGGACGGGGAGGAATGACGGTGGCGCCCGCGGTCGAGACGAACCATTGCCCGGGTAGCATCATGTCGTTTTGGTGTGGTTGCGGCCATGGTCGGACGGGTTGGGTGTTTCCAAGAAGACCCAACGATACCAGAAGGTTGTTGCATGGGCCCTTGCTGATATGTGCGTCGTGAGGAGCTGCGGGTGGAACTGCACGTATGACATCGAGCTCAAGCTTTAGTGGTTCCAGCGAGCTCATGTTGTTGGCTGCGATGTCCTTGTTGGTGTTTTTACACCGCACGTTGCCGACGACGGGTTCCCCCCACCGTTCGGGGGTGGCTTCGTTGGTGGGCTCAGCCCGCCATCTCTGCCTGGCCACTGGGGTTCCCTTGCGTGGCCGCCGCCCCCGCGCCCCTCGCAGCCGGGGCCAAGCTTGCCGCCCTGCCCGGGTCCGTGCTTTTGTCGTCTCTTCCTGCACGGAGGGCTTCCAGGACCCCGCGACATTGACATTGGAAGCTGGTCACGGGCCCGATCGTCTGCTGTTCGGGCGGCGCCATTGGGGTCGGTGTGCCCACATGCACCAAGTGGGCAATCTGCGCCACCGCTGGTGTGGCCGCCTTCCTCGCGCCGCCGCGTCGGTTCTGCGTTTTGCCTTGTGGGTGTTGACTGGTGATTTGTTCGGTCGTTCCTAGTGCGGCTCAGGCTCCTCCCCGTAGTCGGCCCCACGTTTCGGTCCGAGTCGGTGCCTTCTTTCTCTTTCCCCCCTTTTTCCTCCCCCTTCCTTCTCCTATTTGCCTCCTCTCCTCCTGGCCTCCCTTCCAGATCGGATGGTCCCGTCCAGGAATCGCGCGGGGGGTCAGCCAGGGTGGCTTTCCGAACTCCTCTATGCGCATGGATCGCGCATCCCTCGTCGTCCAAAATCCTCCGGGGGGCGATGGGGTCTTCGGACCTTTCTCCTCCGGGAGGACGGGGAGGAAGAACACTTGCGCCCGCGGTCGAGGCGAACCATCGGTTGGGTATCCCCACGTCGTCGGGCTGTTGTTGCGGCCATGGTCGGTCGGGCTGCACGATTCCCTGGGCGCGCCCATGTCGTTCGGCTTTGGCTTCGGCCATGGTCGGGCGGGGCCTATGCTCCCCCACAGACCTACGATACCGAAGGTTGTTGTATGGGCCCTTGCTGATACGTGCATCGTGGCGAGGTGCGGTTGGGAAAACACGCAGGATGTCGAACTCCGGTGCTTGTGGCGTCGGCAAGCCTATGTTGTATGTTGTGCTGTCCGCTCTAGCGTGTCTACTCCGCGCGATGCCAACGGTGTGTCCCCCCCACCGTTCGGGGGCGGCTTCGTTGGTGGGTTCTGGCCACCGCTCTGCCTGGCCACTGGGGTTCCCTTGCGTGGCCGCTGCACCCGTTCACTCGCATACAGGGCAGAACTTTCCTTGCCTGTTTCCGTGTTTGCGTCGTCTGTTTTTTTTTTTTTTTTGTCTGGAACCCGCGTGCAGGATGTTGGTCGTGAGCCCGATCGTCTTCAGTTAGGGCGTTCACTCGCACTTGTCAATTCCCACCTGGTTTCATCCGCATGGCGTAGCAGAGCACCTGGTAGCGTAATTTGAGCACTCTTCAGCGTAGATCTAGTATAGCAAAGTCGGACCATAGCACAGCACACAAGGGCATACCATAGCACATAGCATTCCAAAATATAGCAGAATGATGCAACCAACGCGGTGCGACTTGAGGATTTCTCCGTGTCGGTCGCATTGCAGAATTTATCCCGCTTTGATTGGCCTTTTCACGGGTTGCACAAGAGAAAGCACCATGTCGGCTGCATCACGCACATCACATCGCAGAGTATGTTGGAACAGACTGTTTGGGGTCCGCGCAGCGGCGAACGTTTTCAAACACCGACGTGTGGATCATTGAAGTTGTCATCGTTGGGTTGCCTTGGGGCTCTCTTGGGAGTGCTCTTGGGGCTCGAGATCCCCGGCACATCCCGATCCGATTATGCCTCGGTTTGGGTTGCGTCTCACACCCGGCCCCGCCCTGGCCCGCTGCGCTGCGCTCGGCGCTGGCGCGCGGCCCTCGGGCGGCTCCCCGCCGCGGCGGTCCGCGGCCTCGTGCGCCGTCCTCCTCCCCTTCGGGCTCCTCCCCCCCTCTCCCTCCCTCCGCCTCGCCCTGCTTCCTCCCCCTCGTCCTCCCCTTCCTCCTCCTCCTCCTCCTCCTCCTCCTCCTCCTCCGCCTCCTCCTCCTCCTCCTCCTCCTCCTCCTCCTCCTCCTCCTCCTCCTCCTCCTCCTCCTCCTCCTCCCCCTCCTCGCGGGACGCGGCCGGCAGTTGTGGCCACTGGTCCTACTGGAAGCCAGGCCGGCTGTGCCATCTCCAAGGCGCCTCGGCTGCGCGGCTCGAGCTCGATCCTCGGCAGGGCAGAAAGGGGAGGGGGAGGAGGAGGAGGAGGAGGAGGAGGAGGAGGAGGAGGAGGAGGAGGAGGAGGAGGAGGAGGAGGAGGAGGAGAGGAGGAGGAGGAGGAGGAGGGAGGGGGAGGAGGAGGAGGGATGGAGGGAGGGGAAAGGAGGAGGAGACCCCTCCCTCCTGGGAGTGGCCACTTTCTCAGACAGCCGGCCTCCCCCGGGGGAGCCGCCTTGCTGAGGGGCGTCGGAGGATTTTTCCGGCTCCCAACCACCGATCGCCCGCGGGAGAGACCCGCGCGCGGCCACAGGAGGAGGAGGAGGAGGAGGAGGAGGAGGAGGAGGAGGAGGAGGAGGAGGAGGAGAGGAGGGAAGGAGGAGGAGGAGGAGGAGGAGGAGGAGGAGGAGGAGGAGGAGGAGGAGGGGAGGAGGGGGATCAAGCAGTGGCGAAGCGTCTCGGCTGGCTTCTAGGCCTACCAAAGCATGTTCTGAGAACCATCTGTGGTCTGGACGGCATGATCTTGGAATATTTCTGGCTGGGACTGTCTTGTTTTTTTTCGCATCGGGTTTATACTCTTAGAACGTTGTGTTTGTTCTTAGAACTTCTCTTGGTTCTAGGAACATGTCGTGGTAGGCCTATAGGAATGCCGGGTCGGTTGGTCCCTGCTCCAGAGGAGGAGGAGGAGGAGGAGGAGCAGGAGGAGGAGGAGGAGGAGAAAGAGGAGGAGGAGGAGCATGATGATGATGATGATGATGATGATGATGATGATGATGATGATGAGGAGGAGGAGGAGGAGCAGGAGGAGGAGGAGGAGAGGGTGGGGAGGAAGATTTTCGGAGGAATTCCTGATGTGTGCTCCAGTTGTTCAGATTTTTCTTATAAGTTGCAGAATCGTATTTGGGGTCGGGGCGTCTATTGCGTTTCGGAGGGGTGGGTGCAGTGGTCTAGAGAGTTGTACGGGTGTCTCGGGGGCTTGTCCCTCAGGCGTCGAGGCTCTCCTACTCATACGCAGCGTCGATGCGTGCGTCAGTCTCTACGGCCTGCAACCGGATTGGCAAAGAGGCGGAATTGTTCCCAGTGAGATGAGACGCCCTCGTCAACAATCCTCTGGTGGATGGCACCATCGTGCAAGGAATACATGGTACGTGTTCTTTGTGACATACGTGACCTTGGGCGGGCGGATCTCGGCGAAACAGGGTCGCAGAACAGGTGCTGCCAGCGGCGAGTTCGAGACGCTGCAAGTGGTCTGGTCGCGTTCACCCCTCAACAGGAGGCGGGAGATAAGTTGTTTCACGCTCGCGTCGTTTCTGAGCTCTTGTGCTAGCTTGCTGCGCGCGCAATTCAGTTCATAAGGACGCTATTCGATGCTTGGCAGGACCGCTGTCTCCGCAGGATCCTGCGCGCCCTGCCGCAAGTGTCAGCAGGGCCCCCTCGAACGTGACTGCCCACACAACGGTTGAGCAGAGACTTCTGAGCGAAGGCATCTGCAGGCTTCAGATGGCATTCGCGCGCCAGCTTGCCGAGCGAGGAGACTCCTGACCCGGCAAGTCGATCGATGCTTCGCCCTGGCGGCGTCGAACTACAACGGCCGAGCTGCCGACGAAGGCGCGCAGGCCAAGACAGTCGCGGGGCCACACGGTCATGAGTAGTCGCGCTTCGCTTGCAGGCTTGCAGGAGCCCGAGGTTACGTTCGTCCGCTGGGTAGCGGAGCAGCGTGCGCGTGAAGACCAGTTGTCAAGGCACGGCGCCTGAGCGCATGGTTTGGATAGGAGCGATCTCGCCCTGCTCGCGGGCAGACTGGACGCTGTGCTCTTGTTGGGGTGAACAAGCAAATTGAGAGACTGCGCATCCAGTTCTGCAGGCGTTAGCGGGACCACCTCATTTGTCAGGGATCTGCAGGGAGAAGTGGGGGAGAACGTGCCCACAGTCCTACGGTCTCCGAAGTGGGAGCTGGCCTTGCAGGAATCTGTGCCGACATTTTTTCGCTGGAGCGTTCTGAATGGAGCTACTTGCGCCATGCAGACTCCCACGTGGTCTGAGTGACGCCTGGCTGGCACATCGCCTGGTGGGTGCCAGGCGCTCCTGTGCTGAGGCCGCAGCTTTCACTCGCGACGCGGCGGCAGCGCGTGGGCTCTCCCTCCTCCTCCTCCTCCTCCTCCGCCTCCTCCTCCTCCTCCTTCTCCTCCTCCTCCTCCTTCTCCTCCTCCTCCTCCTCCTACCCCTCCTCCCCCTCCTCCTCCTTCTCCTCCTCCTCCTCCCCGCTGCTCGTCTTCCTCCTTTTTCTCCTCGCTGCTCCTCCTCCACGGGCGGGGGGACCCGAGCGGACGGGGATCCACCGCAAGGGGCGGGTTCTTATTCATGTCTCTGCGGCTGCCTTCCCTTGCGTCTTCGGCTCGCTCTGGCATGGGCTCTGTGACTCGCGTGCGCGCGCGCGCGCTCCCGGAGTCCGCTGGAGACATCGGCTCGGACCGTGCCCGCGCCCGCTGACTGAGAGTGGTCTTGGCGCCAGCGAGATATTGACACGGTGGATCGGGGGTGGACAGACCTCCTACCCTGACACGTCGATGAGTGAAAGAGCGTGTTCTACCGCTGCTGGCGGAAAACCGGGGGGGGTCACTACCGGTTCGAACCGCTCCCCCCCCCCCCCCTCCGGAAAACCGGGGGGGGTCACTACCGGTTCGAACCCCTCCCCCCCCCCCCAGTTCATCATGAAAAGGGGGGGGGGGTCACTACCGGTTCGAACCCCCCCCCCCCCCTCGAAAACCGAGTGGGGGTGCGGACAGTGGTGGGGACGGTGTTGGTGGGGGCAGTGGTGACGGGACAGCGGGACAGTGGTGGGGACAGTGGGACAGTGGGACAGTGGTGGGGACGGTAGTGGTGGGGACAGTGGTGGGGACACTGGTGGGAACAGGGGGGACAGTGGACAGTGGTGGGGACGGTGGTGGTGGGGACAGTGGTGGTGAGGACAGTGGGAATGAGGTGGAAACAGTGGGATAGTGGAGGGCACAATGGTGGTGGGGACAGTGGTAAAGGCGGTGGCGAGGACGGCGGTGGGAAAATGGGACAGAGGTACAGTGGGGACAGTGGTGGGGACAGTGGGGACAGTGGTGGGAGCAGTGGGACAGCTCAGTGGGACAGCGGAGGAGTCATTGGGACAGTGGGGACAGTGGGGATAGGCAGTGGTTGGGTCCGTTGAGACAGTGGGGAGAGTGGAACCGTGGTGGGAACAGTGGTGGGAACAGTGGGGACAGTGCGACAGTGGTGGGGGCACTGGTGTGGACAATAGGGACGGTGGTGGAACCAGTGGGGACAGTGGTGGTGAGGACAGTGGTGCTGGGAACAACAGTGGGGGATGTGATGCGAGCGGTGGTAGGGACCGGGAGTCGTTTGCTGGCGGTGCGTGGGGGAGGGGTCGAACCGGTAGTGACGCCCCTCCGGTTTTCGAGGGGGGGGGGGGGGGGGGGTAGTGACCCCCCCCGGTTTTCCGGATCCGGAGGGGGGGGGGGGGGGGGTTCGAACCGCCGGTAGTGACCCCCCCCGGTTTTCGAGGGGGGGGGGGGGGGGGGGGGGGGGGGGGGGGGGGGGGGGAGGGGTTAGGGGAGGGGGGGTTTTGCCGGGGGGGAAGGGGGGGGGGGAGGGGGGTTTCCAGCAGGGGGGAGGGATTTTCGGAGGGGGAGGGGGGGGAGACCCCCGGGTTCCGGAGGAAAAGGTTGGCAATTTTCCATAGTAAAGCGGCGGTGGATCACGCTCTCTCCGATAAGTGAATTGTCCGTTTTCGGTTCTCGATAGGGCGCCGCGGCCGTCATTTTCCAGGCTTGTTCCTGCCAGATTTGGGCCCGAGGTCGTTTTCACTAAACCACGTTTTACTAAAGGGGGTTCTGTCCATCCCCGAGTGGAGGAAGAACCACCTTGACCCCGAGACTTGGCGTTTGCTAAACGGTCTTGGGCGCTTGCCAAGCAGCCTTGCCATGTTCGATTCCTGCCCTGGGTGCGTTTACCAGACGCCTTCGCTTGTGAGGGTGGATGTTTTGCTCACTGTATTTGGTACCGTGCTGGCCGACGGATAAAAGCGGGACGCGCATGTGCGCGCCAGTGCCACGTTGCGTTGGCTACACACAGACGGCGCTCGGAAGAGTTTTCGAAGTATGCGTCGATGGGGGGGTCTCCAGGGAAGGTTGGGGCCATCGTGGCAGGGGTAGTTTTAGACGGCAATGTGAGCTCTGGAGTTAAAGCGTCGTGCATCGCATGGAGGTGTTCACCAGCGAGAGTTCGTGCTCGGTTGGAGTTCCAACTGGCGTGCGATCGTCATCCGAAGATGAGAGATTGGCATTCGATGCTTCGCTTGTCAGCATGACAAACCCGATTGTGCTACGAGTCGTTATGCGTTCACTAAGTTTCTAGTTCACCGTCGATGCTTCCGAGCCGTGTTTTGGCAGCCGATGACGCCCTCAACTCAGACACATGCCATTTAGGTTGTCATGAACCATCGGTGTCGTTGCGCAGACTGTCCATCACCCTTCACTTGTCCAGTAGGGCTGACGCGAGACCGAACTAATGACAAAGGGGGAGGGGTAACGGCAAGCTAGGTGTGCTCGCGTCATATGTGACGTCCGACCCCTCCCTCCCATCCCTTAACCTGGCGTAGATATCCTCTCTATTCGCACAGTCGGATGTCGAGCAGGGCAATGATCGCGAGAGGGTACGCGATGCACGGTAGAGCACGGCATGGCATGGCGTTGAAAGGCACGGCAGAGCGTAGCATGCCATACCATGGCGTGGCATTGCGCAGTGAAACATTGTTTCCAAAGCATTGCAACGCAAAGCATGGCATCGCACAGCGGCGCAGAACACAACACCGCACAGCACGTCATGGCATGGCGCCAGGTTCCTGGAGGGAAAGTGGATCGTCTTCGAGATGTCTGGGCCAGTCTGGAGTCGTGGCTCCATGTCTAGCTCCTTGGGCTCCCCGAGAAGCTCC